AAAAAGAAAATTCCTTGAAGCTTATTATACAGTATTAAAGTGTCATTGCCACTATTTTTGGAATGCCCTAAATATAAGAGTGTAAATGTACCGATAAAGACAAAGCGATAGAGGCTTTATTTTATGGGTATGGAGATATAATCATAAGATTATAGGGATATGGATATGACTATAAGGATATAGGTGCGGGGATATAGTTATAAGGTATGGGTTTGGGGACATAGTTATAAGGGAATTATAACTATATGGGTATAGGTATGGGGTATGGTTATAAGGATATAGAGATAACGATATAGCTATAAGGGTATAAGTATAGGGTTATAGTTATAAGGCCATAGAGATCAGTTTATGGCTATAAGGATATAGGTGTGGGATATAGTTATAAAGGTATGGATTGAAGAGCATAATTATAGCATTCTAGTCATATCAGTATAATATGTGAAGCTCTTAATGCAATAAAGTATATTATAAAAAGTAATGTGCACAATTGGATGATAGTGCAATCTGTTTCATGTATTATAATACGTGAAATAAGTTGCATTACCATGTAATTGCAACCATTATGTTTCTATTGCAAAATAATGCATTGTGATGTTCATTATTTCGAAACATCGGCTACATGGATCACAATCATTACCTTTTTTTCAGCAAGTCACGTTGACCAACACACGCATACATTTGTTAATATCCTATATTAGATTATGAATACTATGTTCTCATGATAAAATTGCATAAAAATTTATTTGAATATGTTCAAGTATCTATAGATTCATTTTTTTCTTATGCAACTTTTTGCTAAAACAGCTGTATTATTTATTATTTAATGATTTTCAATATTGTTTTGAACTCCATGCATGATAGATGGCAGAAGTTTACTTTGACCTTTTTATTTTCATATCTTGAACAAATATAGATGCCTATGAATATCATTGTATTGTTTATCTTCGTGTTACAATTACGATGATGGTTTTTTTTCAGAAAAAAAATAGAGAATATATAACTGATATTTTAGATCGCTATAAAATCGATTGATTCATAACTATGAAACTGTGGCTATAGTTACAAATTTTTTTTGTCGGTTACAATAAAACTAGAAATTAAGATTATAATCAAAAAATTCCGATGACATATAATATAATCAATACTTATTTTAGATATATTAATAATATAAAATTTAATTTAAAAAAAAATATGTAATAATATTCTATTTTATTTTAAAGACAATTCAGCTAAAAAAAATCAAAATCAAAGCAAAAAAGATTATGCACTATAACAAACATTAATACTAAATTTTATAAAATCAAACATAATTCTTATCATTTTAACTTATTTCTAGAACAAATATGTTTATATTTGAACGCATGTTAATCAAAATACTATCGACTACGAAAAGATGTGAATAACAGAAACGCATATTTTTTTCTATAGGTAAGTTTGTATTGACGTATATATTTGTGATATTCTTGATTTTGAATAGATACAATAAAAATGAACGATAATGATACTATGCAAAAATTATTTTTAAAAAAAACAAGAAAACAATGAATCCATTGAATAAGGTAAATATTTTATCGAAAGAAAATTTCTACAAAAACGAAATATTTTATTTAATAATATAGATTAATATTAATATAAATTTAAATTTAAATGTTATGATATTAAAATAATAAATAATTAAAAAAAATAAATTCTATATATTTTACTTTAAATTTTACAATTATCAAATGGCATCTAATTCTTCATCAATTCAACAACAAAATCCTATTCCATCTAAACAAATTCAATTTTCAATATGGAATACATTTAAACATCATATACCACGTTTTCTTATTACTATTCTTGTTGATCTTATTTTTCCACTTATTATTTATTTTTCTCTTCAAAAACGTATTAAAACAATTTATATTCTTATGATTGCTGGTATACCACCACTTATTATGGTTATTATAAAATTTATTCTATCACGAACATTTGATGCACTTGGTTTTCTTGTTTTTATTGTTTTTCTTATATCGGCTATTGTTGGATTTATAACACATAATCCAATTGTACTTTTATTAGAAAAATCTATTATAACAGGAATTTTATCAATTATATTTGCTTTAACATTAATACCATTACAATATTGTCAATATTATTTACATATACGTCCACTTGCTTATTATTTTTATCAAGATTTAGTACCAATAAAACGACATGATGTTGGATTACCTAATTATATATTTGAAAATGAAGATGAATCAATTAATGAACAATATAATGATGAACATATAATAAAAAAATTATCTTATAAAAAAGAAATTGCTCTAGTTTATGAATGGCTTTATATACATTGTTCATCGTTTCGTTCTACATGTTATATAATAACAAGTATTTGGTCAATAGGATTTCTATTAGAATTTCTTGGTCGACTTACTTTAATTCTTGTTCGTTTATCAATTAATAAGATTGTTATTTATGGATATGTTATATTGAGTTCAGTAACAAGCATAATGATTCTATTAACAATTATTTGTATAGTAAAAGAAAGAAAACAAACATTAAGATTTATTAAACAATGGAAAAATGATAGTTTAAATGTTCAACAAGAATAATGAATAGATCAATTGAATTTAAATATTATTGTCTATAAATTGTTAAATAATTCTCGCTTAGTTTTTTTCTTTGTTCAAAAAACAAATCAATAAATTTTTGACTTTTTATTCTTAATTAATATTCGTTTTCTAAATTGTCTGCTATGAATATGAAACTTTCATATTTTGAAAAACAAAAATTTACTTTCAATTTTTCATGCGTAACGTCTAAAATATATTTTAAAAAGTACATAGAAATTCATATAAATGATACAACATTTTGAAAAAAATGTTATTCGAATTTCCTCTGACTTTTCGTCAAGCCTGTCTATCGAATTTTCCACATTATTATTTATCATATAAGCACAGTAAGAATGAAAATGAGAAGATAAACATTTAAAAAAATCAAAAATAAGAATCAGTTTAATAGGTATACGGATTTTATACTCTATTAGCAGCTGCGCGTAGACCTCTACTTAGCATCGGAACATCAAAGCTTTCTAAACGATAGGCATCTCTGCGTTTTTTCAAATAAAGACCACCAATAATGATGCCAATTAAACCGGGGATCCCAAGACCCAATATGAGACCAACAGTTAATCCTGTCTTTGATGCTAAATGAGAAATGAAAATAGTAAAAAATAACTTGAAGTCATTAGTTATTTACGCGGCGGTGTTACTCCTACATTAGGTGTTGAAGTCGTTGTAGTTGGAGGATTTAAATGATCATCCACATCTAAATCAAAATTTATTTACAATTTTATTGAATATTCTTCTATTCATTTTACTCACATGGACAATTAAAATCATATAATTCTATATCATCTAATGCAAAATAAACCGTTCGATTCGATGTAGAATCTTCTGTACGATTTTCTTTACCAACAATAAAAGAAAAGGCTAACTAAAAATTCAAAATTTCTGTTTTTTAATGAGTCTTTCTAAAAAAAATAACATCTTGCTGTGTAATTAGAGAATGTTGAATTAAATGTTATCTTTTGTAATTCCCATCCATTTTTTTCCATATCATCTATTGTAAGAGTTCCAATTAGAAATGCATTGTCACTTTGATTATTAGGTCTTATCCACGCTTGAATCTGTTGACCCCAATTTTCTTCATCATAAATAGTAAAATAATAATAAAATCGAAGACATTGTTCTCCAACTGAATCTCTTAGAGTTGGATTGTAATCGATTGAGTCAATGATTGTCTTCGATGACTCTGATGAATTAAGTGATATAAGACCATACAAACCTATAAAAAACATTAAATTTTATATGATGTCAAACATAGAGAAAA